AGGTCCGGGAGGAAACCAGAGCCTCTCGGAACCAAAGTTCTTGTACACTGATCTGGCAGTGGAGAGAGCTTTTGGCAACCGGAAGTTGAATGTTTTGGGGAAAATATTATTGTATTGCTGGATTGCAAACATGTATGAGTGTAAATATTGTCTGTGTCATTTCTAGTATTTATATTGTTGGTTTGGGAATATTATGATATTTTGTATGGGGATTTAAAAGTGTGTTTTTAATACTTTTTGTAACATTATTTTCCTATTGGTTGATTTCTGAGCCAATTAGATGTAAGTTGGAGATTGTAAGCCTTTTAAAAGGGCAGGGCTTTTTCATTCTAGTGAGAGAGGGTGAGCTGAACACACGCTTGCTGCGAGGCTGTGTTTAAGGGAAAAGTAAGTGCAAGGAAGTTTGTATTTAAAGTCTTGGTTATAGTTTATATTTTGTGTTGCCTGATTGAGGCCGGTTTTCTTTTGTGTTTATTCAGTTTTTTTGTTTCTCATATTTTTGTATGCTCACTTCCGCACTGTAAATAAATACGCACCCGTCTTCACGATATTTTCAGTTGCCTAGTTTCAGTCTTCTTTAAACTTTATTGGTGAGGGCCAGTCCTGACATGAGCTGGGGGTGGAGAAGCCCCTTTCTCACAAGAACCAATAAAGCAGTTTCTCTCTGTGATGACTGTGATCTGTCTCAATTTAACCAGGTACACATATGGACAGCCTGTGCAAGGAAACATTACAGTCAAGGTCTCTCCACTTCGTGTATGGCCGTTTTTTCCAGGAGGACCATCTCAATTATTTTCTAATAATGAGACAATCCAAAAGCAGGTAGAGTTATACACATTAGAATTATGACATGAGCACATATTTTTCTCTGTTGTTGCACCAATGCCTTCTTTGTGGCCACAGTAACAATATAAATTATTGTATATAATGAATATCAATACCAAAGATCTCAGTTTTAGGCTTCATAAAATCGCTTTGCGAGTGATAGGTATTTCCAATTTGAATTTCCCAAACCCGTAAATTTGCTGGATTTGCTCATAAGAATTTCATCTGCACATTCATAAAGGCACCAAACTAAAGTTGGCAGTTGTTGTTCACAACACCGATTTATGTGAAATAGACAGACTTGGACAAACCTGTGCAGCTTATAATAGTGAAATTAACATTTCCAAGTGCAGCAGCGATCAGAAAATTTTACAAAATGCAGAAGAAACATCGTGTTGAGTACATTTTTAAGGAATTTGAAAAAAATCAGTCATCTAGTGCAGATGTAATGTTTACAGAGTACGATGCAGAGTCTTGTTTTGAGTTCCAACAGTTCATCAGTGTGATGGCGGTGGGGAAGAAGCTGC